TCTAGTTCAACCTATCCTGGATATGTTTTGAGTTATCCGGTTGACTTAATCCAAAACAAAGCCGCTCTCGCTAAACTGTCCTACAACGCTGGCTATCAACTCGTTAGCTCAAGCCAGCCGTGTCCTATCTAGTTAGGTGCGAGTTCACATGAAAGGGGTGGTATCTGGAGCATTCGACCAATCACAAACATGTACTGACAGCGCAGCGTCATACTTCCTGAATGAAAAGTCAACTATAATATTAGTCAAATATGAAGAAGTTAAACTTTAAACATCCATGACTTAAACACTTTATCCAGGATAAAAGCCACATAGCTGCAACTGCAAGGTGAATACAGCTGGTAACAGAAAAAGTGTTTGAATGCGTACATTAACAGGTTTATGATATCACTGCCCCGTCTAAGACACGATCTGACTTTAATTACATTTGACTCGAGTGTTTCGTCAACTTAATGTGTTGCTTAAAATAATACTTCTGCATACAGTATGTGACACTGTGAGTGTTGCACGGCCAGATACGGCTCAGCTGACTCAGATAAGGAAATATGATACACAGGGCTCGACATTAAGGGCTGCCCGATGGCCCGGGGCCATCTAGTATTTAGCTCGGGCAATGAAGCCTCACCTGCTGGTTGCCCGATCGGGCAATCTATTATGCCAGCAGCTCGCGGATCCAGTAATNTATAGGTATAAATGGATTTTTTGGGGCGATTCTTTCAATCTGACTTCATATTGACAATTTTTAACAACAGAGGGTGCTACATTACACACTTTCAGGAAAAGTCACGGACTGGGAGACTTTAATATGTTATTGAAAAAAAGTTACATACAATCAAAAAACAGCTTTTCCTGAAAGTGTGTAATGTAGCACCCTCTGTTGTTAAAAATTGTCAATATGAAGTCAGATTGAAAGAATCGCCCCAAAAAATCCATTTATACCTATATTCGCCAGCGGGTAATATTTACCTCATATAAAATGCTGCGTAAACATGACGTGTTGCTATAGCAACGCCTTTTTGTCTACTGCGGTTCCTTTATAGATAGAGAGATAGATTGAGAGATAGACTTGTGTTCTGTTTAGGTACAAATCTCTCTAACACCAAGCGTTTAAATCAGCACTGGTAGCGATAGTTTATACTTCATGCTATCTTCACAAACTATATCATATGAAAAGCTGAGAGTCCACAGATTCTATTGGTATAAGTTTCATCCCTGTGCGATCAAAACTCACTGTTCTGTATGATAAATAAAAGAACAGTGTACCTTGCAAATCAATAGCGGGTAAATGTGACCCTTTGGCGGTTTTAGGTATCTAGTGTTAAAGCTACAGACACAGAATCAGCTCTTTGGAAACAGGGCTGAAACAGAGGGGATTATGGGATGCTGCAATGATCTGTTTGGTATTTGGAGCCAAACACTTCAGAGACATGTTTTGTATATATCTGACACCTATAATATATTGATGAAAAACAGTATAATAGGGGACCTTTAAGTACTCATTTGTTGTTTTTTAAACCCATTCTGCTATTAAATGAAGACAAAAAAAGGTTTTATTACATGGTATAACATCGTAAATTGTGCTTCTCTTTAACTTCTTTCCTGTGTGTGTTGCAGGTGTAGGAACAAGAAACTACTACAGGAAGATGGGCTATGAGCTGGAGGGGCCGTACATGGTGAAGGACCTGTATGGACCCGGAATGGACTGACCCTGTTTTTATCTGGACTTTGGCTGCAGGCGCACATGCACACACATTATTGTATTTATCCACACAATAGCCTCGGGACATGTCTGCTGATGTTTTGGGGAAAGCATCAGAGGAGATAATGGTTGCAGTTTTTCTTCCATCAGCTTTTTTTTTATCTGGTACACACCGCTTTATTTTAGATAAGGAGACCGTGTGAGTGGGTGTAAGGAATAAAGTTACTTGGGAGGAAGCCAGAACATCTCCTGTACAAAGTTTCCATTTTCATTTTCTTACTTTATTTACTGTGACTATAAAAGAAAGGTCAGTCTGCTCTCAGATTTGAAGCTTTCCACATTGTATGGGTTCTACCAGTGCCTTGTCAATGAACTCCTGTACTGATTCAGTTTGACAAGAAATAAGAACAAGAGACATTTTCTCTTTACTCAGATGTTACACGTCTGGTGAAGAAACATCTGAATGTCTGGGTATCCCTTAAATAGTGTTTGTGTGTTTGTCGAGGATTAGAAACCTGTTTAGCATCACGCTTTGAGCTAATCATGTTTATGTTGCAATTAAATAGAAAAGCCATTACGAGTCAAGCGTTCATTAACAGTTGGCGGTGGATGAATGAATTGCGGGAAGTGTCCTCGTCGGGCAGCCGTTGTGTAATTGCAAGATTTTGATTTAGAGGGCAGGAAATTGAATATTAGTGTTACATAAATAGCTTTTTAAAGCCCCAAAGTTAATCCTATTATTTGTGTTAGTCAGGCATTCTCGGGCTTCTAGTAAATCCAGATGTTGAACACATTCCTCATACTCAAGGAATAAAGTCCTTCTTCGGGTTATTTTGGTAACACTTTCTATGAAGTCCATTTCTTTAATGCATTGAAAGAATACTTTAAATGTATTATAATCTGCTTATAACTTTGTATTTTTAAAGTTATAAGCACTAAATATTCATAATGCTTTACAATGATAATGATAACACATTTTAAAGCAGGGTCTTGGTGTTTTATACTTCCTAAAGTTGTAATATATTGTTTATTATGTGATTAAGTTACTCTTACTTATCGTTGTTTGCTTTGAGAAGGTCAAAGATAAATTTGACCTTAAATATCATGTTGTTCTTAAAGATTACAGGAAGCACTTAAAAGTAACTCATTTTAGGTCACTCTGGATCAAATCTTCATAATCATTTATTGTAATGGAACTAATCACATTATAATGCACATTTAAAAAAATATGTCATTATTACATTTTTATAATTCAGTTTTATAATGCTTACAACGTGTCAATATTGTTATAAAGCATGGTAAAATAATAATTATTTTAGGAACCCTGCTGCCTTTTAGAGAGTGGTGCAGTGATTACGTATTGTTGTAGGCCAACCTGGAAGTTAGCATAACAAGGACTCCCTCAACAAAAAGCTAATCATATTCTTTTAATTGATTTTGGATTATTGCAGGAAATGAGATCTGTGGCAAACACAAGTTTATGATACTTGTTTTGTTGCTTTGTTCAGCAGGATTATCTCCACCTGTCAACACCAATTTTAAGATTTCTGAAGCATAATTGCAATTATCAAAAGTAGAATGCTAACGCTAGGCTATAAAACAAACATAGCATCACCACGGCTAAGCTTAAGGTGGTTAATTTCCGGCATGATGTCGTTTAGTAATTTTAGAAACTTCAGACATTAATATGTGATATATTTACTGATGTCTTGTATGTCGTAGAACAAAACGTGAGAATCGGTTCCTTATTTTAGGCATCTAACCAAAGACACGCTCAGGAAACCGTTGACTTTAAGACAGTCTTAATTGGTCAAATGCCAACTCCAACGCGTGTTTTATGACTCATTCCTGCACTACTCTATTGGAGAGGGAATTAAGGGGGGGGGGGGCGGTGCGGTGCCACGTGTAAATGGCCCCCTGCTCGGATTCAAACCGATTACTGATTCCAGAGCTCCAGCACAGGGGCCTTAGGCTCTACAATGCTCCCCACCTTTGAATCATCAAACCTTAATGACAGAGTAGCCTGAAAGGTCTAGCCATTTAATAAAGGTCACATGGTCCGAGTGGCTCTTATAATGTGTTCCCCAAAGTCAGGGGTCCGGCCCCTGCAGGAGACCCCTGATGATTGCCCTATGAGAGTGTTTTACTGGCTCATTTGACACAGCCTTTCCAATTACATCTCTATAAGTTACCTGTCTGTTGAACACTGACTGAATGCTGCGTTCAGCCACATTGTTACTGGAAAGGGTTTGTCATTTGAGAAATAGCTCGCAATAAAGCACACTCGGGTGACCTGTGTCTCGTATGGATTACAGCTGCAGTGGAGCTGAACGGCCACGCGTAATTTCCTGGACGCGGCCCCTGTGTCGTGACGCTCTGTTGGTGTTGCAGTCCTGACGCATTGAGGCACATTCAGGCTCTCTGTCTACGCCTGCTCACTGCTGCTTTCAGCTTTGAAATGTGAAAGGACCCCCTCACCCCCCCACCGCCACGCTACACTCGCTGAATCTGTGCCAAGCTGATTTAGTTTGGGCTAATCTTCACTGCAACATGAGCAGAAGTACAGCAATTTCAGGTAAACTCTACTGAAGGTTACAACACTTCCAAGAGTAAAAGAAGACCTAGATGTGTTGATTCTCAGTGTATTCTTCTCCAACCCTGAACCCTAAATTGAGTCGTTTATTCAGTCAAACTGCAAAGCAAGAATTTTCACATTTTAATACTTATCCTATCCATTTCGGGTTAATTTAAAAAGAGTTTCCGGACACTTACAATTTAATTTTTAATGCGAGCAAAACTTGTCTAAAATAAGTAGCCGTCCAAGATGTGACAGAGACTGATGACCAGTAATAAATGCTGTGGACTCAGTGTGGATACGATCAGCCCAAACCCTAAAGCCTGCTTTCATTTCCTGCTCCAAGAGGACAGTACATTAGTGAAGGCAGCCCACTAAAGTTTTGTGCCGATATTAATGCTCACACAGCAATAAAGTTTGACTTAACTTCAAAAACGATCTTTAGGACCAGCTTAGAGCAAAAAAGTGATATAACGAAATAAAAAGAAACATTTTCACGTCATGTTTAAAATTTCAAAAACTGATTTAGATTTTCTTTGTGTACATTTCTTACACACGTTACGTTTTTTTTTTTTTTTTAACTATTTGTATATTAGTTTAAATCGATCAAGCTCTTGTGCTTGACACTTGTTGTACATTAGTTATCGTAAAAGAATACCACATACTACAACCAAATGTGCATGGGGTTCAATGGACAAGCTGCTGAAGGGTCAAACAATGAAGACGTGTTCCGTTTCACAATAGTATTTATTAACAGATCAGTGTTGGAATGCATTACAAATATTATTTGTGGATCCATGTAACAATCAATTAGTGGTGAAAATATATGAGAAATCAAGAAACACCTTAATGTAAGCTGCATTTTTCAACAGAAAAAGGCTCAATATCTACAAGTAATGTCAAACTTAATTAAGAAATAAAGCTGACAGAAGTCACCGAAACACAGCTGACCCTGACAAAACGCAGCAGTAATCATTTGAAATTTCAGCCATATGTAAACACCAAAATCGATTTTCCATGTCAAGCTTCATGGCGCTTACATTAAGCATAGAATAACAACTCCCTCCAGATTTCTTTATTGACCTGTTTGAATATCATTGCGTGTTTCGTGGACTTCCCTTTCTGTGGTTTCCTGAACATTAGACATTGAGCTTGTGTTTCCGTGACAAGGAAAGCACCTTCCATCCAATGTCATCAAACATATTTCTTCTGCCTACCTCCCTGTAGCAGCTAAGTGGCTATTGCTTACACACGTCAGAGGGTCCGCCGTCCATATTTCCGTGTAGTGGCTGTTCTGGGAGCAGCCTCTGGGGTCTCTTAAGTGCCCCTCTGTCAGTGGGAGTCCTCTTCCAGAGCCGAACGCACTCTGGCCTCCAGCTGCTCCGCCGGGGGCCGAGCATCCGGGTCCGAGGCCAGCATGTCTGAGAGCAGGGTGCACATGGCCGGGCCGGGGGGGGGCGGCAGCGGGGGGGCTCTCTTAAACTTCATAGGGATGCACAGCTGGAGGTTGTTGTTCTCCCACAAAGCTTCCCCCAGAGGAATCAGCCAGCCTGAGCGACCCTTACACACGTAGGCACCTAGAAGGGAGACACGGGGGGAGACACTGTGGTCATCATGCAGGGGGAGTTCCCGGCCGACTGCAGGGGGCCACTTCATGTCACGGGTTGTCAGAAGACTTCTGTTAACAAGTTTAGTGTTGTGTGGAAATATTAGAAAATTTGTCAACAAAGCTGAGTACTTTTCAGTTTAAGGATAAAAAAGAAAAGTGAGGAAATTAATTAAGTGAGAAGCAGGGTAATTTTTTTGTATATACTTCTATACAATTGTAATACTTTTTCACTGCCTGCTTGATATAGAGAATTCTGTTTTATTAAGGAATTTTGCAAAGAGACCCTATTGTGCTTTTGGGGATTGTCCCTTTCCTGTAGTGTTGTATAGGTTTTGGTGCATGTAAATGGTCTGCGGAGGCTAAAATCCCTGTGTCCAGAGCGAGTTTCTCCCCCACACACTGCTGCTGCTCCCCCCCCCTCTCCCTTTCTGAAACGCCTCCATTGGACTCCTATGTTTACTTCCAGAACATAGTGACATCATTATATAACACTCGTGCTTCTATTGGCGATCTATTAGTGATAGGCTAAGGGGCGGGACATCCCTCAATCACAACAGAGCTGGCCAGCTAACCAATCAGAGCAGACTGGGCTCTGGTTTCAGACAGAGGGTGAAAAGAGGTGGTGCAGCACAGGCAGTATGAGAAAAATAAAGAGCTTTCTGAACATTAAAGCATGGAGACATGTCACAGTAGAGACACTACATACAGGGCAACTTTAGTCCAAGCACATGGTACACCTCCACCCTTAAAAGGGGACCTATCATGCAAAATGCACTTTTGTACTTCTTTTATACATGAATATGTGTCCCCGATGTTCCAGGGAACTCACCAAGTGTCAGAAAACACAACCCTCTCTTTTTCCTCCATACCCAAATCTGCTTGGCACGTCTCAGTGCAACGGATCTGATACAGACTAATACAGATTTGAAATTGTTCTGACGTCAGAAACGGGGTGCTCCGCCTATATGGCCAACTGTCCACCTATCAGGGGAATGAGAGGTTGCGTGGCATGGTAACAGCATGGTAACAGGATGGTAACATGACGCTCGTGCCTCGCCCCCCTCCTTTGCAGGGGGGCTTGGTCAGCTGCTGCTCATTGGCCACAGAATCAGCCCTTGTGAAGACAGGGCTGGAATAGATCAAATAGAGCGAAATGAGGCATGGCTAAAATGCATGATCTGTTTGGTATTTTGAAAAAAAACTTCACAGACATGTTTTATATAGGTATGGCCCAACAATATATTATTCAAATATAGCATGATAGGTCCACTTTAAGTTCAAGTTGACCCAGGACTGCACGTGTACTAACGGCTGTAGTGGGCACTTCTATATTACAACAATGTTTTTTGTGGTCAAACTGAAAAAGTGAAAACATGAAGTATATTCGAACCATATGGTTGCATACTGATAGACTGCAGTGCACAGGAAATGAAAGTATTGCTCACAGCTGTTGAGAAAACAGCTCAAGAAGCAACTATTATATTTCTGAAAAAATCTTTTGCTGTCTCCATCTGCACAGACACTGTAGTATTGGGTTGGAAAAGCCAATCATGTTGACTGACATCTCTCTTTATGTATCTGGTAGAGCTGATCTGCCTGATAAGACTTCAGAAGTTGGGCAAAGTTAAAGTACTAAGATGATTTTCTCTCATTTCTTACATACCATTTATGAAATGAATAATCTAGGGTTTTGGCTGCTGAACTGAATAATTTAAAAAAAATTGAAACTCTAAATTGATTAGGTAATTTGTCTTAATTTGAGACTAAATGATTTATTGAAAAAATTAGGAGATTGATCAGGGGAAGAAAATCATTAGTTACTACCCAAAATAAATTGTAGAGGATTATCTGTGAAATTAATTAAAATGCAATTGTCCCTAAAGTCACAGGAGATGACATGTATTTTAATGGAGCCCTGTTAGTAACACATATGTCGTGAATGTCTTCCTCAGCACTGATCGCTGGCCTGAACACTGAGGGGAAGTCTAAAGTCAAGAACACACACACCGGGCTTCAAGAAGGACAAACACAGGAAGTTGTGTTTCCGCTCCCCTGCCTACTCAAATAGGTGTGTGGGTCTAAGAGAGGATAAAGTAAAATAATGGACCATTTTATCTGTCTGTGAAAAGGCTCCAGCCGCCTCTGCCTATTTTCTCACTGACAAAGAGGATTGTGCTCAGCGCTGCTAAATTCCATTTGGTCTCTTTCTTTTTTATTTGAAACCACCTGAAACCCCTCTCTCCGTCCAATCGTAACCATTCCATTCAGACTAATGGAGTATCAATGACTCAGGGAGGTTCTCAGGTACTAAACCTGGAGATAATGGTTCATATCTCCCTGCCTTCAAGTCGGCTCAGGCTATATTTTACAGAATAAAATGAGACATCTGTATAAACAGCCCTTTCATTATTCTCAGTGGAGCGCGGAGCAGAGGCGGCCTTGCGTCCATTAAGACCCTTAGTCATCCTGTGGCCACATGGGGGTTGGGCAGAAAACAGGACATTAAAAAATAGATTAAAATCTCAATGCTGTTCTGCTGACACAGTGCTTCTCTCTTTTATTGAAATGGTCAGAACTTTGTGAACGTTATAGGTCTAATCCACTATTTCAAAGTTCTAAACAAAGAAAAGTTAAAGGGGACATTCTGCTCATTTTCAGGTTCATATCATTTAGTGCAGGGGTGGGGAACCTTCGGCCCTCGGGCCATATACAATTTGGTACATGTAAGAAATCTAGACCGCAAAAAAATTAAACAAGCGAATGCCTGTTTTTCCTGGCCAAGGTCAGGGTCCATGAACACAACACGAGTCTAACGTGTCATCACGTGGTATATGTCTCGTCTGACAGGGGTGTAGTTCTGACGAAGAGCACCAGAACGTCGCTCGGCACTTCAGATAAGGAGCTGTACACATGCCGCTGCGTGACTGTGTCTTTAGTGAAAGCCCAGTGGCGATCTGTTCATCTGTCATACTGATCATACAGTCAATAAACTTTGTTGTTATTAGCAACTGGTTAGCTAGCTATGCTAACAAATATAAGAAGCTTTTTCTACAACCAGTGAGGTAAAGGCACATCTTTATATGATCATTATAGTTATACAAAAATAAGAGAATAAAATAAAACAGGTATAATACTATATGACAGTAAAGAAAAGTTGTTATTAATAAACAAGAATAAAGTTTGAAAGGGGAGTGATTTGTAAAATATCCATAAAGTAAAAGTAAATATGCTTACAGTTCTGTTTCATATGGGTGTTGAGATGTATCCATAGAGCTCCTAATGTAGCTCTCAAAGTGCACCAGATTGATGCTTTTAACTTCAACATTTAAAAAAAAATCGTCCGGGGGAGCACGCCCCCCGGACCCCCCTGGAGGAGGTTAGGTCCCCCATGTTCACATATACATTATTTTGTACACATCTTGTGTCCTTATATTTCTGTTTTGGTGGTCATGCCACACCGTGCACGTCGTGCATGCATGCGCGAGTCATGGTAAGATATCTGGATTAAGAGGTTACTTTTTCTTTGCACAGCATGAAAGAAAGGCCAAATGAATGGGCAGTGATTTTAGTATTTTTAAGCAGAGGTCAATCATTTGTACGGCCCTCGGAGGATGTTGAACAAATTGAAATGGCCCTTGAGAGGAAAAAGGTTCCCCACCCCTGATTTAGTGTATCTACTGCGACATGATTCCATGCTTTCATGTTCAAAAAGCTCTATTTTTCTCATACTGCGTGCGCTGTAAGAAACTTTGGGATTTTAGCCTTTGCAGACCATTTACATGCACACAAACCTATAGAACACTACAGGAAAGGGAAAAGCACAATAGGGCCTCCTTAATTAAATTTAAATGAGTCACTTTGGGAAAAGGGAAAGCTGTATTACACGTCTGCTCGTATTAGAAGAAACAAGGCTACTATAATTGATATCAATGTGTGCATAGTATAAATCATCCGTCACGTTGCCATTTAGATCTCCGATTCATCCATGGTTGATGAATGTACGATGTATAGCATGTGACATTTTTTAAACATGTGCCAGTTAATGAAGTCAAACTGAATTGGGAGCGATGCGTCATCAACCTGCCTGACCACACTGGACATTTGACCTTTGTGTGAGTGCTCTGACAGCTGAGGAGGATTCACACTGACATGCTGGTGTGTTACCCAACATGTTAACACTGTCCCATAAACATGAAGAAACTGATACATCTGTTTACATTTGGATATGATGTGTATCCAGGTATTCTCATCTCTTTCTCCTACCCAGTTGCTCCTGCGTGGCGCCCTCCTCCAGGAAGGTGATCCTCTCTAGGACGGCCCAGAACATCACCCCCAGGGAGAAGATGTCAGCCTGGGCCGTGTAGGTGAGTCCGCCCCACACCTCTGGAGCCATGTAGAAATCAGAGCCGCAGGTGGAGGAGAAGTGCTGCCGGGTCAGCTCTCCGTCCACCACCCCCCCACTCATCTTGCTCAGACCAAAGTCTGCCACCTACAGGTAGGACAGACAGTACATTGAAATGACAAAGATATACAGTGTGCTTTGTGTTGGTAAAACTGATTTTAAAAAAAATGTATGACTTATGTAAGAGTTAAATATTCATTTTCCTTTTGAAAATGATTAATGTAACCATTTGCAACTACATTCCAATATGTGAACATTTTAACTTTGTAGTGCTGAAACATTTAATAATGGATTAGTCCGTCAACAGAGAATGAATCAGAAACTATAAGGTCTATTGCCGTCAGCCTGCCCGGGTGAATATACATTTTGTATATATTTGTGTTAAATGTAGTCCTTTAAATTATGGGTTTAACAAATCATTATTTTTATAATCCATGAATCTGAAGATTATTGTCTAGTAGAGTGCTTAATTATCAAGTGGCCATTAAAAATAATGAAAAATGTCCATCCCTGTCCTTAGGATTCCCAAACCAAAAAGTATTTACTGTTATTTCATATAAAACAGAGAAGAGCAGGAACACCCTATTTAGGAGGTATTTCCTGCTACATATATTACATGAAAGATTACTTTAAACATGAATAGATAATCAAATAATTAGGAATGTGTTTTATCGACTGATCAAATAGTGGATTCATCAGTGAAACTCTACTTAAATAAAGGATTTACCCCACCAACAATCTGCATCAGGGCCCAGATAGAGACTTAGACTTTCTGAAAACAAAACCCAATTGTCTCATCATATTCCAATTTTAAGTATTGAAACTCCAGACATTCACCTGACCTGATAATTACTAGGGATGTCCCGATCACCTTTTTTTGCTCCCGATCCGATTCCGATCATTTGGTTTTGACAAATCTGCCGATACTGATTTTTCCCGATCCGAACTTTATGCAATGCATTAAGAGAAAAAAAGGTAACAGATAACGGCTGGTCATCCAACGCGATGAATTCAGCTATCTTGGCTGTTATTTGTTTGGCCTTTACTGTTCTGGGGCAGTTTCTCTTTCCTTTTAAAAGTCTCTGAAAGTGTCGATTGTTTCAGTGCCGTTACCTGAGTGGCCGCTGTGTACTCGTCGTGTTGTTGTTGGTGTTTGTTTCTCAGGTGGCGTATTAGATTGGTCGTGTTGAACGCAGCTCTGTTCTTTCCACCACGCAGAACCTCCGCCTTGCAAACATTGCATCTGGCTGTTACACTGCCTTCGCTTTCAATTTCATAATACTTCAAAACTCCTGACATTTTCTCTGTCCCGACTCCGGAGTCACCAGCTGAACATAGCCTCTCGTTAGCTTACTGTTGCTACTATTAGGACTCTGTGCCCTGCTCACTCTGTTGCCAGATTTTGAGAGAAAATAAGCACCAGGTCTATGAAAACAAGCCCAAAAGAAGCAACACATACATGATTGTTGTGTAATTAAAACCAAAACTGAAGGCCTCAGGTGAATGAATTTAAAGACTGTGAACATGGTAATTTTTTGATTTGTAACGTTAAATAAAATAATGAAAAATTAAAATTCCCGACCCTGATTTTTTTTTCCCCCGATTCCGATCTTTTGAATAACACGTGATCGGCTCCGATCTCCCGTGATCCGTATCATCTCTCAATAATTACTTTTTCTGTATTTTGTCTTCAATTATTCTTCAAACTGCTTTTTAAAAATGTTTACTGTTTATTTGTGCTCTCAACGGGTCCATTGCTAAAGTGAACAACCAATCATCCCCTTGCAAACACTCTGATATGTTTTCGACACTACATAATGCCACATGATCTGACGTAGACATCGGTGTCACATCTCAGTCAGCCTACCTTCACGATGGGTTCCTCTGGGGGCATCATCACACCACCAGCACATTGTCCGGACTTCAGGTCCCAGGTGTTGTGTGATGCCCAGGCTGTGCAGGGAATGGCCACAGCGCTTGCAGAGCTGCTTCACCACACTGTCGGTTCCTCTTGGGGGGTCCGGCGGCTCTGGAGAGCGAGGGTATCCTGATTCATCATCAAGTCTGCCCCCGTCACAGTACTCCATCACGAGCCACAGGGCCAGGCAGCTCAGGGCGGCGGCTGGCCTTGCTTCCTCCTCGCTCTCAAACCCTCTCCTGGATCTGTTGTGAGGCCTTGTGGTCGGTCGTAGAGGTCAGATTTAGGTCTTGTCTTGGAGCGTAGGTCTGGTGCCTGCACAGTTGTTGTCCTGTCCTGAAATACTTGAGACAGTGTTAGTTTGTCGGGCTGTGTCGAAATACATTTGTTATCGGGTGTATTTCCCTCTACACTGTATGTCTTCGATTTGGGCTGTTAAATTCGATTT